AGCCCCATTGCCTAAGAAAGCCGAAAGAAATCGTCAAGAAGGCCCACATGGCACCAAAAGGACCCTCATATGACCCCACAAGGCCTTTCTCCAATGTTCCCCCAATAGTTCCCCCAAACGCTCGGGGAACAGGCCGTCCACTAGCACAACCGTCCCCTCGGTCGACATTTCACCGCACATGCGTTTCTAAAAAGCAGGAGGCGGCGGTATTTCGCAGCAGGCGCCATCGATATCGATCCATAGCATTGTATGTCATGGCGACCTGGGTAGCTCACTTCATTGATAGAGTTGCGTAGCACGGCATCCACCAGCATTGAACCAGTGGGCGCTTGAATAGATCTTTGTCTAGCATTGTGAACACGCACCATGGCGTGCATAGCGAAGAGCAACACATTGCAACGCATACCATAACACATCGCTGCACAACCAACCATATAACACCATCACGTTTGACGACGAAGGACATCGTCGCGTGGCATAGCGTCTAGTAACACAGTTTAACACACTATTTGACAGCACAGGGTTTCACGTGATGACAATGTATCACATTATGTATCGGATGGTGCAACTTTGCAAACCATAGCGTGACGTAGCATTGCATCCTCCAGTATAGCGTAGCATGGCGTATCACATCATATCATTGCAGAGCATGACAACGCTTCAAACACGTAGCATGTCATTTCATTGCGCGGCGTATCGTAATCCAGAGTGCGTATGTATCGTAGCACGATGCAAAAGAACATGCCAAAACATACCGTGTCGTATAACTGCATATAACGGCAACGCAATGCATAACATCCAATGAATAATGAAACACGCATCTGCGCATAGAACTGGCGCCATAGTCATGATAAGTTGGCCTGTCAACTGAGGCCAGAAACGCTCCTTTACACAAGAACAAACCAACAACCCCCCGGGCAGGCCTAATTGAATACACATGCGTCGTCGGTGGAACTGAAATTAGACTGTACGCGCACGATCGGGTTGAATGCGGCATAACGGCACGGTATGTTTGTGCACCTTGGGCCCACTGGAACATGACCTAAAACAATTCATCGGAACGGCGTGCTGCCGCAATGGAATCGAAACATGCAGCGGATGCAATTCCGGCATCACCCAAGGGCTTTTGTGAGTGTGCCACACCAATGAAGCGCCCACGGTACCAATGACGCGCACAAGGTATTTGAACCAATAACGTGATCATGTTCGGATGCCGTCCCCGTGGGCAAGCACAAATAAGAAAGCATGCGACCACACATACGTGCAGACATCGAAACGTAAATGCTCGGCGTCAACAAACGTGCGCGCCAACCGCGAAGCACATGATCATTATCATGTGAACCAATGCGCAGACATAAGAAGAAACTTCAGATCCGTGCAGACGCGACGTCTTGCTATTGATACCGAAAGAACCGTGCAATTTAATTTCAACATCGTTCCTTGATAGGAAACGCTACGGTTGTCGTAAGGATATAAAGCAATACGTATCCATAAACGTCCAGACTGGCCAAACGTGAAGCGGAAGCATGAGAAACGAATGGCTGGCGTTAGCCGCAATCTCAACAGTGGAAAGTTTAGTGGGTGCTCCGTGCGGTCGGTCGAGCTACTCACGCCGCTTCTCCGTGGAACGCATACTCTTTCTCATTCTAGACGGGCCTCCCGGCAGATGTAACACACGCGCGTGCACTTTGCAGCGTATTGCGAATCAGCTTACGTTTGTTCAAGCAGGCGCGTCAGTTTCCAAATCGCCACGAGCACACGCGCAGTAACGGTGACACGATATGGCCACGCGGGATGCGCGAACCGACCAAAGACATGATGGAGGAGAGGCGTTGAAGTGCCACGCGAGGCCTGCGGGGCGGGCATCGGTGGCGGGGCCCCCCGTCGTGCAGGGGGGGGGCGTCCCCTTTGGGCGACGGAGGAGCGCTTCGACCTCTGGGCGTGCGCCTCGGCGACAGCTGTGCGGGAGGTCAACGGGCGACGCTCCACGAGGGGACGCGTCGACGGGCGGGCGCGCGGGCACACGGGCAAGCAATGCACCGCCGCGCCGGCGCCCGTGCGGTCAGCAGGACCTGCTTTAGAGCCCTACGCGCCGCCACGCTGCTCCTGGGCAGGCTGTGCTGCCCGGCGGAAAAGGAAAAAGAGGGGAGAAACAGGCAGGCGACGACGAAGGCGCAAGCGGGAGGCCAGGGCTGGCAGGGCGGGCGGGCAGGCGGAAGAGAAGCCGGGCAAATGCAGCAAACAAGGAGCGGGAGAAAAAGAAAAGGAGGGAAGCAAAAAAGAGGAGAAGGGAAGCAACCGCAAACAAACAGGCCGGGCCAGGGGCTGGGAGAGAAGGGCCACCCGCCACGAGGCTACGGACCCTACGGCAGCGACGCCGACGAAGTGGCGCAAGCGTAGCGGTGGAGTGGGCGGTGGGCGTCGGGGGGGGGGTCGTTTGCACTCGTCGGGAAAGACCGTCAGGGTCGTCGGGTGGCGGCGTGGTGTGGCCGACCGAACCCAACACCGTGCGGCTTGCCGCCCTGCTGGGGAAAAGCCGGACGGCGTGCGTGAAAGGGGGGCGGGAGAGGGGCCAGCGCGGGGGGCGTCTGTGCTGCCTAACAAATGCGTGTGTGTGTGTGTGTGTGTGTGTGTGTGTGTGTGGGCGGGCGCGCTAGGCAGCGCCGGGGAAACCTCACACGGCGTCCGCCGTGGAGACAGCCGTGGCCGCGGCCAGACGGGCCGCTGCCACCCCCGCTCTTCCAGACTGCGTCTGGAAGCGCCGCATCACCGCCCGCGCGCTTTCCCTGTGCAGGGGCACGGGAAGTCGCTGGGTGTGTTGGTCCGTAATCACTGCGGAATCGTTCCCCGCCCCGTGGCGTCAAGCAGGTGCGTGGCAAGCACTTGACAGTAGTGGGAGTTATGGCAGAACGTGCGCCTAATTCCGCCAGACCTTTGGGCGCACGTGGTTGAATGTCCAAGATCTTCCCAAACACCAAGCATTTTTTCCTAAAGAGGGAGGTTTGCTTTCTCCCCTGTCCCTGCAGCGTTTGCCTGTGCTGGGTCCGCGGGCACCTTGGTGGCACGATTTCTGGCGCTGGGAGGGGTCGACCCCCTGTGAAGGAACTTCTCCGTGGAAGTCTTGGCCTGGGGGGTCGCGGGTAGCTGGCCCAAAATAGCTACAATATGGCATCTGGTAGCTAAAGATGGCCAACCTGCAGCAACACTACGCAACTTGCCCTAATATAGCTTCCAGGATGGTTCAGAAAGGACTGGGGAGGCCACACCATGGTCTTCAGGCGCCCCCCCGAGCCTCCCAATGATGCCCCCCCCGAACTGCTTAATCTGACTAAAAAAAATAAATTTCCTGATGCGCGTCTTCTCGCTTTGTTAGCTGCCAGTGGGCCCTGTCAGCCGCTAGATGGACCCGAAATGGCTAAATAATGGCCCGATGGCTCCCAAAAGGATCGCAAGAAGGTTCCATCACACCCCGAATGCATAAACAAACTGGTAGACGGCCAAGGCTCCAAAAGGCTCTCACGAGGCCGCGCCCATGCGATTTGAATGCCTACAAAACAGCCCAACGCAAAGCTCAGCTAGCCCAGCTAGTGTCGCTTCAACTTTCGATGAACTAGATCTGGCTCTGAGCTACCGTGATATGACCATTGCCGAACGACTGCCGCACTTCGCCAGCTTCAGCTTGGCCCAGCTATGCTAAGCCACTGGAAGCCAGTCGGAGCTACACTACTTTTCAACTGCGATTTCTATACATATGCACACATATAAACACATCTATACTTGTATATATATATATATTTATATAGCGTTGCACTCCGCCCTTTGTCATCCAGGCCAGCAGCGATATGTCGTGGCGACAGACCTTCGCCCTGAGAAGACTGGAGCAAGCGACTCATAAAACACAACCCTCTGGACCGGTCTCAGAGATACTAAACTCCAGAAAAAGTTACAGGGGATCATAGGCGGGGCGGGCGGGCTCTGGGAGCCTTGAGCCCAAACGGGTAAGGACATGGAGAACAAGAGTCATCCTCACGGATTCAACGGCCATCCTGATCGGCCTCTGCTCAAAGCTAAAACGATACCAAGGTGATCTACCAAGCGTTGCACTCCGCCTTTTTTCATCCAGGCCAGCAGCGATATGTCGTGGCGACAGACCTTCGCCCTGAGAAGACTGGAGCAAGCGACTCATAAAACACAACCCTCTGGACCGGTCTCAGAGATACTAAACTCCCGATTTGCCGTAGTTACAACTGGAGGCATCGGATTAAAGGTCACAGTGGCCATGTATTTCAATTGCAGCCAGGGCGTCTTTAAAGCTATGTGCTAGAGGGTAGGGCTCGGCAATTTAAGTTCGGAAAATACCATTAGACTTTCCGGACAACTCAGCGTGGGGCTTATTTACTGTAGCTACAAATGCCGCGGCCAGTGCAGAGGCGAGAGCATCTGGACAAATCTACGTGCACGCTCACGATTCTAGTTCGTTTGCGCCACGGCATATTGAAACCGCAAAAATCGGTTCGGATGCTATGCGCGGGGCTGAGGCGGCAGGCGGAAGCCATCGGTGGGCACAACCACATCCTGCTGGTCGAGGGATTCTCCAACGCACATGGTACGATGAGACGAGCACAGAGCCTCAATATGGATGCCGAGAAAGTCATGAGCACGTTCCCGATTCGAGCTTTTTCACGATCCACGGCCGAGAGATCGGGGAGCCCGAGAGGTTCATAATCGCTTCTTAGACGAGGAGGCCCGCCACCCCGATCGCGGGCACGAGAAAAACTCGAACATGGGGTCCCCGTCCAGACTGCAATAACCTGTGACGCCAGCAACCATCCTCGCACACGTTTTTGCACCTTCGGTAACGTCAAATCATATTGCTCACCATGGCGAATGTCGAATACAATGATAGGCGATCCCACATGCCGTCTCCAAGCAGCTGAAAAATTTCCAGTCCCTGAATGTGATTGGCCCTCAAGAACGGCAGGACCTGCTCATGATGGCGCCAATCTCGGAGGCGTACCTTGCCGTTGCGAGCTGAGCGCCGTGCGGCAGGAAGCGCAACTGCTCCATCAGGTGGCCTGCCTTCTGGTAGCGACGCATCGAGCTCGACTGGGCCCACCCGCCGCGGTGCTGCATGCCAGGGGGGCCCTGGCGGCCGAGGCTGATGACGAGGCTGGCGCCCGCAGGGTACAGGAGCACCGTCCACCTTGATTGGTCCTTGACTCCGCTTGGCAGCGGCGGCACCAGCCAGCCGCGGCGCAGACTGAGGGCCTTGCACGGCTTCAGGTAGAGCACCACGTACATCAACATTGCTTCCGCCATGGGCCACCGGTCGCCGCGGACCAGCCAGTCGCTCAACAGGCTGGAGCCCGCCCCCTCGAACCACAGGTAGTCGAAGAAGTCCCCGAGCGCGTCGTCGACTTGCTTCTCCGACTGGAGAGGGAGGAGGTGGAACCGTGCCCAGTCCTCGAAGCTCTCCCAGCTCTCTGGGTACAGCTGCTGGGTGCGTGGCCGGACGTTGGTCGCCTGGAGGGAACTCAGCCTCGCCAGCTCCGGAGCCCTCGTAGCAGCCGAGCCCCGGCGGGCAACCGCGCGAGCAGCGGCACGTCGGGCCCGCGGCTGCGCCCGGCGCCGCGTCGGCTCCAGCGGCCCGACCCCCTCCAGCGTGTGGCCCCTCGGCAGGGCCGCGGCAAGCGTCGATCCCCTCATGCCCCGAAGAGCAGGGTCTCGCGCTCGCGGCCTGCCAGCGTGGGCCCGCGCCATCCGGGGCACCTTGGGCAGCGGCTGTGCTGCCGCCCCGTGGACCCTGGCCGGGGTCGGGGCACGCAGCAGTGCCGCCAGCTCCACGCCTGGCGACGGCGGCCGGCGGCAGCAGCCCCCTCCGCGAGGGAGCATCAGCAGGATTCTCCTCGCTCGAGATCCACCTCAGGTAGACGGAACATCCCGACACCAGCGCCAGTGCAGCCCAGCGCCGGACAACTCGGAGCATCCCGGGCGCGGACGTTCGGCCCTTGCTCAGAGCCAGAACAGCCGACATCGAGCCGCTGAGGATGAGAACACGCTTATGCCATGTCTGACTGTTCCGTAGCATGTGTCGAAGTCCCCACAAGGCAGCTCTGGTCTCCAGAACAGGAATACTCTCAGGACGATCCCAAGCTTGCGACCTCACTGTCCTCCAAGGGCCTCCGACAAGGGATCGAGGCACGAGGTCGACCCCCCGCTCCAGCCGGGCGCAGACGTCCACGCCCTCCGGCACGTTAGCGTTCTCTGCCTTCTCCCCCGTCACCTTCGCCTCCTCGATCCGCTCCCGGGCCTGCTCACGGGCCCCTTCTCCACCCTCCTTGAACCTCCAGGCCTCTGAAAAGCTCATGGCGTGCTTCACGTCGGCCTCCAGGCCCACGGTCTCCGTCGCCCCCAGGCCCCACTCAGAGGCGTCAGTGGCCAGGACACGCGTGTAGATGGGGGCGCACAGGTCCCGGGAGCAGAAGCAGATAAGACACGAAGCCCACCGCAACTCACGTCGAACCACATCCCAGACTCCAACGCTCTCCCCACGATGGCGCCCGATGGAGGCATACACCCCGCTGAACACCGACAGGAGCTCCCGATGAAGAAGAAACAGATGAGTGCAGTGGCCCACGAGAACCTCGACTTGCTTCCCGCTCAGGCAGCGCAGACGCGAAGCGTGTTGAAGTGCAAGTCGAAGACGCCACACCCTTCTCTCTTTTCCGATCACCAGGGGGCGGTCACTTGAGAACATCCAGCCGAGAGCTTCGCCCCCTGGCCCTGCCTCAACAGGATGAGCTCGCAGGCCCACGCGCTCGAGCTCGGTCGCAACTCCTTCGGCCGCTGACCGAGCCTTTCCTGCAGACTGAGAGAAGGCCACGAAGTTGTCAACATACGCTGCGTGTGCAACTGGTCGTAGGTCAGGGGGGGCTCGGTGATCCTGGACGCGGGAGTCGTTGCTGAGGCCCGGGGCCCGATCGCACGCAGCTTCCAGAACTCTCTGACACCAGTTGAGGGCATGGGTCCAACCCATCGCCAGCACCTTCAGCCTTGGGAAGATCCACGTGTTCGGTCCTACGGAGGCCCCCTCTACAGTACAGGTGACACCTACGCGTCCCGCCCGAACCTTCCCGAGACCAAAGTAGGGCCTGAGGGGCTCGGGCAGGGCCATCTGGTAAAAAGCATCCTGAATGTCGGTTTGGCCCAACTCAAGGGCCAGGTCGGCCGCGGCAAACAAACGTGAAAGAGAATCCCCCGAGGCAAGGCGAGTTTTCGGCGGATCCTTAAACCAGCAGTTAGACCTACGGGCGTCGATGATTAAACGCTGGGTCCTGTTTTTCTTCCAGACCGAAAAAAGGCCACACTGCTCTTTTACTTCTAAACCGAATGCAAGCATCCCACGTTGAGCTAAAGCCCGGATGACACGCTCATACTCACGAGGACGGTGGAACGGTGGAGGAGAGGATCGAGGTAGGGGCGCTGAGGGACCCCGTTCGAGCTCAAACGCTCGTCCGCCTGATCCTTTGGCAAGAGGTAGTCTTCAACAAACTTCTGAACTTCATCGCGGCCATTCTCGACAATACCCTCCAGGTCCTGGGGCATCCCAGCAGCAGGAAGGCTGAGAAGGTCAAGGTTCAGAGGGGCCACAGAAAGAGGGGACCCCTGATAGCTGTGGGGCGCCTGGAGCTCTCGAAAGGCTCCCCGGCAGGTGAGGTCGGCGGGGGGCTTTCCCCACCGGGCCGCGCACTCACGAACGTGCGTCAGCCCGAGGTCGTGCACAAGAGGCCTGAATTGCGCCGGCGAGGCCTTGTCGGTGCCGACACCGACAAGCTCACTGGCGGGAGTGTCCTGGTAGCCGCCGAGCTCGTTGAGCGCCCGCGCCACGTCAGACTCCCAGTCGGAACGGTGCTCTCTGGCCTCCACACGTCGTCGTACGGATCGCGACAGAGACTCCCAGCCCTCAGCACGCCGATCGCGCTCATGAACAGCCAGGGGAAGAGCGTCGCGCTGGGCCACAAAACTCGCACGACCACCATGATCGCGCTCCCCCTCATGTGTGAAGGCCAGCAGGGTGGGGTCGCCCTCTGGCCTCGGCTCATCACGCGCCATCCTTGCGCGAGAGTTTGTTCTCCTCCCGCGCCTTCTTCATCTGCCCGGTAACCCAGACGTCTCGGCCGATCTCTTTCGAAGCCCATTTCTCCAACCCGGGGCAGTTCGTCACCTCCCCGCCTAAGCGGTCCGAGGTCGGAGAAGCAGGCCGCCTCGTCGCGGGTCACCCCCTGCGCCAGCTTGCTCGCCTTGCTGCCTTTGCTCGCCTTCTCGTAGTGAAAATCTATCACCTGGCACCGCCTCATGATCACTTCGAGCCTGACCCGATTTGGAAAGTCAATCTGGCTGTACTCCCCGAAGACCTTGAAGGCCTGCATCTCGTGACCATGCTCCTGAACTCTGAAGTGCGTGCTGGACACCTTCAGGTTGGCCATCCACCCGCGGTGGTGGTCCATGGGATCGTCCCCGCGGCGGTCCACGAGCTGTACGCACCAGAGCACCGTACGCGGCCTCGGCTCGGGCCAGTCCTCCAACTCGACCTGCTGCACCTTCACCGACACCTCGCGCCGCGCTTGCTGCCAGACCCCCTGGCTGTCGCACTGTGCGCCCACCGCGCAGGCGTCCGAGCTCGAAGCCGAAGGTCCCTTCGCATCAACGTAGTCCGACGGCGTCTCGTCCATGCGCAGGCGCTCCACGAAGACCCTCTCGGCCAAACAGGGAGCCGGCTCCAGCTCCATCCGCCCGTCGGGCGAGATCAGCGCGTCCGACGGCATCGCCGCATCGTCGCCGACTGTGACCCCCAGGAACCCGTTGGCCAAGACGATCACCCAGCGGCCCTCGGGCGCGGCGGGCGCACGAACCACACGGTCGCGCTCCCTCGGGGTGAGAGTCCCACGGGCCTTCCCCGCCGCGCCTACGTCGACGACCAGGCCAGGCACGGGCTCGACGCCGAGGTCTTCGCCGTCAGCACCGCCAGGTGGGTGAACCACTGGGCCGCGGCGACACTCCTCCGAGCTGGCCACGCAGTCGGTCTCGTCCAGCAACCTCTCCCACCGTCGTCCCTGGGGGAAGGTTCCGAACTTGTAGGTGCTCTCAACGCCGACCTCAATCGGCACGCCCCTCAGCACCGCCTCCCACGCCGCCGTCACTGTGTCCAGCTTCCGGTAGGGCTGCAAATCCACGAATGGCACCCACCAGCTGCACGACACCACGTCACACGAGCACTCTTCGCCTGCCTCGCAGGCCGAACTCGAGGGCGCCCGAGGACACTGGGTCGCGTGGCACGTCGGGCGCCGCAGGTCAGGGCGGTGCAGATTTGGACAGGGTAGGGTCGCCGGGCACGAGAGGGTCGGGCAGCTCGGCACCGGCGAGCACCGAAACAGCCAACCGTGAGTCGCCTGTGAAATACTGGCGACGACTGTGACCAGCAGCTCCGATGCCATCCGTCGCGCGTCAGAAGGCGCGCTCAGAGCCTTGAGCCCAAACGGGTAGGGACATGGAGAACAAGAGTCATCCTCACGGATTCAACGGCCATCCTGATCGGCCTCTGCTCAAAGCTAAAGCGATACCAAGGTGATCTACCAATGTATATGAAACTGTTGCAATTGATCACATCAATCCAACTTCAGCTAAGTCTAGGTTTACTCAGCCTCGTCTGAGCCACTCGACTAGATGCTGAGCAACAACATGCGAAATCGGATTGGCTAGAATCATTCGAAATGCGCCACGTTGGAACGGACGTAATATGAACAACTGTAGACTTAACTGACATTGGCTGGCGCACCCAAGCTTTGTTGATGGCCTGCTTGAGTTGATACGCCCCTGCATATGTAACTTAAGCTCCGACGTGTTCCCCCCTCGCACCTCCTCGCCCTCCTTTCCTTTCCTTTCCTTTCCTTTCCTTTCCTTTCCTTTCCTTTCCTTTCCTTTCCTTTCCTTTCCTTTCCTCCTACTAATCCTCCGTTTATTCTTCCTCCTTCCTCCTCCCTACAATGACCAAATTCCTCCTCCTTCCAAAAAGCCACGCAGACATCTATATGCCCCCCCATCTTAAATCCACTGTTGTTGCCACATTTCTATGATCGAGGTATCGCGCCTGGGCGCTGTTCCTGGATGGGTTGGTGCTGATATTTTTTTGGTCGCGGCCGCGAGACGACGGTCAGGCGGCAGGGGCGACGTCCGGGCCACGGGCGAGGCTAATTGCTAAGCAGAGTTGGCGCTGATATATTTTTTTTTTGGTTGTCGGCTACAGGACAGAGGTTATGAAGCGGGATTAACGACTGGGGCTCAGGCAGCGGATAATTGGCCAAAGCGGCGCGAAAGCCGCAGAGGCGAGTGCACGTGCAAGGGACCAAAGGACCCTCATTAGGAGATGCAAGGGACAAAATGACCCGAATTGAACACCATTGGTGCTGATACGCGAAGCGTCAGAACTTCAACACATCAGGCGAATCATGGATTCTTGCGCGTCGGCGGCTTCTGGGGCGGACGCCTGAAGCTCCTCGGGGAATTTGCGAGGCTTCGTTGACGCTCCCGAGGCAATCTGGAGCGCCCTGGGTCGCCGCTGACCGCCCTGTGGGCTGTCTCGGAAACTTCTAGGGTCTCGGAGGGTCTCGGTGTCAGTTGTCGGGAATCTTGCGAGCTGTTTTCGGTTGCCTGGGAACGATAAGGGCCGCCGTGGGTGCTCTGGGGACTGCACCAACGGGAAAGTTCAAATCGGCCGAAAGAGACATGGGAACGCGATGTTTGCCTGGTGGCGGCGTGTGGGGCGGGCTCCTGTGGCCTTTCGGGGGGATCCGGGGGCCCTTGTCGACGATCTTGGAGCCGTCTGGAGCTGCTGGGGTCCGCCGTCTCGGAGGCGTATGGGATCTCAGAGGGCCGTCATGGCAACCTCTGTCAGCTTTTGCTCTCATGGGGCCGCTGTTGGCATGCTAGAACCTCTTGCTGAGATGCACTGGGCTGTCTGGAAGGGGATGAAAGGGCCTTCCCCATTCGAATCCACATTCTTCCTCTGCTCGGGAGGGGTTGACTCCTCCCCCCCTTCCCTGAGAGTCTGGGGGGCCGAGGGGTTAGAGTGCCCAAGATGGCTTCAATACCGCCCCCGATGCCCAGGATGGCCTCCAAGTGGCCAAATATGCATCCACATTGCCTCTGACATACCTCCGAGATGCCCCCAGGACGGCTCCAAGAATCCACAGGCACCCCTAGGACACTTTCAAGAGGCCAACATGATGCGATAACAAAAAGGAACTCACTGATGTTTGGTTTCTCAAGTTTTCGCTTCCGTTGGGCCCCTGGGGCCCCAAAATGGACTCAATATGGCTCAAAGGAACCTCCCAATAACGCCCCAAGCGGCCTCCAAGATGGCCGCAAGACGGCCTGATTGGTCTGTGAGAGTGCCCCGGCAATAAGCTGGCTCAAGAGGCTTTCATGAGGGGCCCAAGGCGGCGCAGGATATGAAGGGCTTGAAGATGGCCCCCGCGACGGCCCTGACGGTGCCAGACGGCCCACAAGCGCGCTAAGACGGTTACAGAAAGCTCCAAGAAGGCCCAAAATGGCCCCAGGATGTCGCCAAGATAAAGGAACAGGTTTGAAACGAGCTCTAAGACAGCTCCAATGCAATTCCAGAAGGCATTTTCCCAATGTCCCCCCTTTTTGCCATACAAGCGTTTCTAAAAAAGCACGGGGTGGCGATGATTCGCCAGATGGGTCTTCGATCTGCCGTCCCCGTAGCCCGCTGGAGGGGTGCTCGGCGTGCTTGGGTCTTCCATGAAACCCCACCAGTCCTTTACGGCGTGAGTGGTTTAGAACGTTTCCTCTTCTATCTTCCCTCCCCCATGTCCCCTCACCCTGGGTTTGGATGGGGGCGTTCCGCGAGGGGTTGGAGCGTCCACGACGGCCTCTGCAAGGAAGTCCATACCATAAAGTTTACGACGATTTTGGCTACATTTTGGCCTCCTGGGGGGGGGGGCGCAATTGAGAAACCCGCCGTATTTGATCGATCTCCCCAAAGATGACCCCCGAGGCTCCCAAGGGTGCCCCAAGACGACACCAAGATGCCCACAGCAGGCCCCAAGCGGCCCCCAAGAGGCCCCCAAGGGGCCCCAAGAGGCTCTCAAGAGACCCCCAAGAGGTCCCCGAGAGGCACCCAAGATGCCCCAGGAGGCCTCGGCGAGAAAGCCCAAATCAGTAGTTGTACCTATGGTTTTGCCGACATTTTGGCCTCCTGGGGGTACCCTAAGTAAGGAGTCTCCCCTCCTTTGACCGCTCTCCCCCAAGACGGCCCCCGATGCTCCCCAAAGTGCCCCAAGATGTGCCCAGGAGGTCCTAAGCGGCCCCCAAGAGGCCCCCAAGAGGCCCCCGAGAGGCTCCGAAGAGACCTCCAATAGGCCCCAAGAAGCCCCTAGAGGCACCCACTACAGTCCTCGGCGAGAAAGCCAATAATTGATATTATAATGGTTTGAGCCACACGTTGGCCCCCTGGGGATGGGGACTCTACTATACTACTGCCCCTCCTTTGATCGATCTCCTCCAAAATTGCCTCAAGATGGTCCCCGAGGCTCCCAAGGGTGCCCCAAGACGGCCGCGAGAGGTGCCCAGGAAGCCCCATGAGGCCCCGAGAGGCCCCCAAGATGCCCCCCAGAGGCTCCCCATAGGCACCCAAAACGCCCCAAGATGCCCCGGGGACTGCCAAGAGACTCCCAAGACACCCCAAGGGGATTCCGAGAAGCTCTGGGAAGAAAGCCGAAGAGACTTCGAGAGGCATCCACGAGGCTTCTGGCCTTCCTGCTTGCCCTCCTCCTCCTCTGTCTCTTCCGCCTATTCCTCCGGCTTCCTCCTCCCTCCTCCCCCTCCCCCTCTCCCTCCCCCTCCACCTCCTCCTCCTCCTCCTCCTTCTCCTGCTCCTGCTCCTCCGGTTCCTCCTCCATCCTCCCTCTCTTGGAGTATGACGTCTGACCCAGCCCTTTATTCCACTGCATGCTCCTTCACATCCCCGATTAGGGCAACTCGTCTGGTCATCGTTTCGAGATGGGCTGGTGGGGCTAAGACTTTTTAGTCAGCGGCCGCGGGCGAGCGCGCCAGCGGCGAGTCAGGTTTAAGCGGGCTACGCAGAGACTGATTAGGCAGAGGCGACGCGCAGCTACGCGCCGGCCGAGGCCTCACGCAGCGGCCCAACGGCAGGTGGCTGGCTGGAGGGACTGAAGCTGAGTGGAACTGGCAGCGTGCAAAGTCTGGTGGGGCTAAGACGCGAAGCGTCTAGAATGAATGGACATTGGCGCACCCAAGCTTTGTCGATGGCCTGCTTAGACTGATGCGCCCCTGCGTATATAAGGCCAGTTCCGACGTGCTCCCCCAGACGGTAGCTCGCCTGCGAATATTTTCGGAATGGTCTGGTGTGGAAACGCGAAGCGGCAATAATTTCAACATCGCCCTGTCTAGCCATGGGCCCCAATACCGGTGAACAAAAAGCCAGCGCCGCTACCATAAAATCGGGCTGTCGGGTGAGGTCTACACATGTCGCGAGCGTGGTGGTTCCGATACCGATGTTTATGTAATCGTTTCCTTTGACAGCCTGGTCGGACCAAGACTGGCAACTTACGAATCGAACGCACAATGTTTTTTTGCTTAGGGGTGTTCTGCAAGGTTGCAACAGAGCCCCCTGTATATCGTCACAGCGTTCCCGGCCGAATTGATTTCTACGTGGGCCCGACATCGATTGCATAATTCTGTGAAAGCAGTTCGCATTGTGATCTGGGTGACGCATCTCGTATAACATTCTTTAGCGAATCGGGCATTCATTGAATTCTGCATTGTCGTCTGGGCGATCGAGGATCACCGGCCGCTTCCTGAGAACTTGGCGAAGCGGCGCGCAACATCGAGAGCCGCAACGCGGCGCGCGTGCCAGTTATCCGTGCTGGGGTGTGCCTGGAAACTTATCAGGAGTATCGAAGACGCCTACGGGTAATCACCGCCGCCGTCTGCCTTTCAAGATACGCCTGTGTGGCCAAACGTTTCGGCAAACCTTTGCCACGTTATTGGGCCATGCGTTACCCCAGCCGTTGCGGAAGCCCTTCAGGGAACACGTGAGGGAAGAAGAGGAGGATAAGATGGAGGAAAAAGGAGGATGAGGATGAGACCTCTGGGAGCTTCTTGGGTTTTTCCGTGGGCGCGTCGCAGGCCCCTCAAACCACGGTCCAACATAACGCCAACTACGCCAGCCTCCTCGCAACAAGTTGCAAGGCCGTATGAGAACAATGAGGAGAACGAGGAGGAGGAGGAAATGGAGGAGGAAGTGGAGTGAGACGGAGGAGGAAGAGGAGGATTCCCCTGTTGGGAGGGGTTGGGGGCACACGTGGACGCCTTCCTCACGCCACCTCGTCAGCGCTGCTCAGAAGCCGAGCATCCTTCTCTTCGGGTTGCGCCCGGTCACGACGCTGTTCGGCGAGGCGCGCGTTCTCTCCATGGGCGGCACGGGCACGCCGGGCTTCGGCTCCTCGAACACTTTGCCTGCCGGTTGCAGCATATCCTCAGGAGGGGCTGGCGCGGTGGTGCTGATCTGCAGCGGGAGGCGCTTGCCGTCCCTGCGGCGCAGGGCATGAGACTTGCCTGCCGGCGGCAGCAGGGCCCTCGCGTCTGGGTTCCGCGGGCTCACGAGCAGGCCCCTCTCGTCGACCAGCCGCTTCCTGGCGGTGAAGGTGGTTCGCTGGATGTGATCTTTCGGAAGGCTGAAATACACAGCCCGCTCGATGCCGTCGTCGCCGCCGTCGATGCGCGCGATCATATCCGGGACGAAGGGCACGTGCGTCACCTTCTCGTACTGGCTCTGGTCCTGATTGGCCATGAAATACTTGCCCTCCGGAGAGTTCGGGTTGTGCTCGTACAGGTAACCGCAGCTACCTACCACGATCTCCTTGCTGAGGGTGATATCCAGGATGCTGTGCGCCTGCATCCGTCCCCGCTTGCGCCTTTGGATCCTATAGTCCGGAATGACTCCCGTAAGCTCACCGAAGTTCACCACCTCAACACCAGCATCGTCGAGCACCTGCTGCGCCTCTTCCCGCGACTCGGCCATGGCAAAGTCTGCGAGGACCTCCTCCGAGACTTGCGAGGTGAACGTCAAGCACTTGCATCCCACGAGGTCCAGCGCGTCGTTGACGTGAAAGGTCGTGGTGTCGGCATCGTACAGGTCCTCGCCGTCGAAGCCGTACGCAGGGTTGACCTCTGTCTCTATCCCGGGCGGGGGCTCCAACGCGAACACGCGAAAGCCGCTCAGCGCGCGAGCCTCCTCCACGGTCTGCACGCCAGCCAGTTGGAGCGCGTACACGTCGCGCTGCACCCGCTTACCGGTGATGATCTGAAACGGTCGAGGGAATCGCCGATTGGGTGCCTTCAGGTGCACCTTGGCGGCGAGCGAGAGGGGGAAATGAGAAGGATAAGGCCTTCTCAGAAGGCGGCGGGACTTCTCAGAAGCCCTCGCTCATTCTGAGAAGTTCTCAGGCAGAGGACTTCCGAGCCTTCTGAGAGGGCCCGTTCCTTCTCACTTCCCCCCTGGGCCCGCCGCCGAGCACCCTCTTGGGCTTCTCGGTCCAGTTGCTGAAGTTTCGGTGCCCCAGGTGCCGATCGGCCACGTAGCCCTGACGTGATATGTCGTAGTCTACGCGCACGCGCACTTCTCCTCGGACGCCGAACACGCCCGAGATCTCCCCGATGAAGCTGAAGCCGAACGACTCGGGGTCGTGCGGGTCCACGGCCTCCATCGTCGGCCACATGGCCCTCCACTGGTCCATCCACTTCTTCTCCTGCAGCGCGCACGCCCGGAGCGACTCCTCTGTCTCCGCCACGGGAAAGCCGCGGTTGTACTTGATCTCCGTCTCCTTCTCCTCGACGTTCTTGCCTCTCAGCCGTTTGTGCGCCTTGGATCCTAGCTTGAGGTCGCCGTACAACCTCCGCCGCATCAGGTCGTTCGCAGCTTCCTGCATGTCGATCTCCCACTGGTCCATCGGCGAGGGGTTCTCTTTCCGCCACTTCAACTTTTCTCGCCTTGCCTCCTCCTTCGCCTGGACCTCCAAGGCACCGGTGGCCTTCAGGAGCGCGTACTCCTCGGCCTGCAGCTCCTCCCGCGTGGGCACGTAGTCCAGCTCTCCCTCGTCCTTCTCCGAGACTGCCACCTCGCCGCCGTCCTCGTCCTTCGCCCGCCGCCTCGCGCTGCTGACCTCTGCATCGGTGCCAGGCGCCGCCGCGCGCAGTGCCAGCCTTCTCCTCGCGGAGGAGCGGTGCTCGCAGCCCCACGCGCCGCGCCTGGCCCTGTGGCCGGACCGTGGCCCTCTGCCGACCAACCACCGCGGGGCGGCGGCCAACGCCACCGCCAGGGCGCCGGCGGCCGCGGCGGTCGAGGCGCCGCCGGCAGCCCCCCCGGGCGCCCGCTGTGGCGGCGGGGCGCGCCGCACGGCGCCGCCTGCGAGGCCGCCGGCCGCGGTGCCGCCAAGGGGGCCGCCAGCCGCGGGGCCCTGCGCCGCGTACCCTGCCAGCGGCCAAGCGGCGAACGCCGCCGCGGGGGGGCGCGAGGACATCGCCATGACCACAACGCGCGGCTCCTTGCGAGCCAAAGTGGCCACGGAGGCTCTGGGCTCCATCTTGGGGCCCTTCTTGGGCGTTGGGCCATGTTGGGACTCTGCTGGGCCGTCCTGGGCGACTTGAGCGGAGTCTTAGGCCTTTTGTGCCCTTTTTGGCCGATCTTGAAGGCTCTGGGGACTGCCCTCAAGCGGTTGCGGGACCATTGATATGCAAGACATGCAGCATGCAACAAATACTGCAAGCACTATGGTTTTTGATATTCTTTGCTCTTTCGGAGTCGTCTTCGGGTCCGCCTGGGCCGTCTTACAGTCACTCAGGCCCATTCTCGGCCGTCTCGGGCTCCTGGGGCAAGGGAACCCTCGGGCAACCTAGAACGGCCACGAGGCTGAGCACTGCCTGTTTTGTTTGTTTATTGGTTTGCTGTGTTTCCTTTGAATCCAAAGCCGCGGGCTTCCGTCGTATGCATGGGGAAAAAGGGGGAACATTGTTGAGATACAGGACGAATTAACAAGACGGAAAGAAGCATCCACAGTATATCACTCGACCATCCCTGGACGAATTTGAGGTTTTAAGGGGACTGACAGATTTCATGTAGGTGCTTCGAAGACAATCCTTCAGCGGGCTTCCTTGTCCCCCTGTCATTCCTCGTGTGTATTTTCCAACGCTCCTCCCATCCACGAGCCCACATATTGTGGATACTCCCTCATTAGATCTGGCTAAGACGTAGGTGGTTGAGGGGACGCACCCTCTCGAAAATCCCACCAGGCCTCTGGATGGCCGGTGGCATTGGGAAGTTCTTTAAGTTCCTTCCTCCAACGGTTTCAGCCAGTCGGGGAGGGGTGGGCACCTCTCCGAACACCCTCCGAGTGGCCTCGCTATCCGCGGTCAGCTGGGTCTGAAGTCGTATTTCTTCCGCCTTTGAGGCTGGACACGCGGGATGTGCAAAAGACATAAGTCAAGCCACGCCTTGTTGACCGTTGTCGGCTTCCAAAATGCCCCCCCCCCAACGACCATCCGTTTGCGCCTCCACACCATCCTGTTGTGTCGAAGAGCCTCCCAAAATGGCCCAGGAGACCCCCAAGACGCTCCCAAGGGCCCCCCCAACCCCCAGAACATTTCAAGAGGCCCTGGAGAAGCCTCCAAGATGCGCCCGAGAGGGCCCAATGGGCCCCGAAGACAATCGAGGAAGCTCCCATGAGACGCCGCAGACTGCACCAGAGGCCCCTGCGAGAGACCGCCGAGATGGCCTCGGAGGTCTCGTGAAACGCCACGAAGTGCCCACGGATCCACCGACAGGCTTCTGGGAGCCTGCCAAACGCTCCTCACCGAGCCCCATGAGAAGCTTCTGCATCCCGAGAGGCCCCCAGCTCTGCCAACAGGAGGTCCCTCGGACGGCCTCGCGAGAGCCTCCGGAGCCGCGCTCCTCGGAGGCTCCCAAGTTGTCTCCGCCAGGGTGTGGCCCTCTTATCCCGCTCCCACCGCTTCCCTTAACAAGCCTCGATCTTATCCCTATCCGTAAGATTGACAAGCCAAAAGTGCGATGACAATCTTAAGGATGCGCCCTCTGAAAATGAGGGTATCCTTAGGATCGGCATCGAGATCAAATGGTGCCAATCACAGGGGTAGGGATATGTTCAAGGCTGGTAATCCCTGGCTCATGCCCTTCCAGCCTGAGCTCGGACATAGCGGGCCAGCTCCCGCAGCGCGCAAGGCCAGAGCGATTTCCGCCGTAGCAGGCCGGGTCGCGCCAGACGCTGGCCGGACCGCAATTGGCCATTCCTGAATATACCAAGGCAGAACGGGAAAAGGCCTGAACAGACAAGAACTGAGGAAACAGAGCTACCCAGGTGTCCGCAGTTCTGCCTTCCCGCCGAATGTGGGCCTGGTGCACACGTAGATAACATACATCATGCACCAGTGTAATAACATGACACCGGAGAATAACCCAAACATATGTTTGATCTTGCATGAGATCCCTCTGTACTGGCTGCTTGGGTTTATGGAGTCTGCGAGGGCTATGAAGGTCATGAGGGCTATAGGGCTACAGGGCTATCGAGCTATAGGGCTGTAGGGCTACAGGGCTATAGGGCTATTCTGCCAGCTAACGCCGGCATCATCAGACAATCCAAACGTGTACCGCGGTGGGGACGCGCGGGACGCTTAGAATCATCACCCTCGCCTTCGGGCACGGGCTCGGCTGCTGTACCCTCTGCCCTCGACCTCGCCAGAGGGGGCCGGCTCCCCCCGCCTGCCCGGCGCGCCAGAGCGGCGCGGCAGTGGCGGGCTTGTCCCTCCTTCTCCTCCCCACCCTCGGCCTCCAGGCAGGAGGAGGAGGAGGGTGAGGATGAGGATGATGATGATTATGATGAGGAGGAAGAGGAGGAGGAGGAGGAGGAGGAGGAAGAAGAGGAGGACGAGCATGAGGTGTGAACGAGGAGTCAGGCTGTAGGGCAGAGAGACGGGAGATGGGATGCTCGAGCATGGTGAACGGATGAGGGAACAGGAATAAGTAAGTCAACGACCGATGAGGGAATAGAAAAGAGGAATGGAGGAGGGAGGAGGCGGAGGCAATAGACATTTAGGCAAGTGCACGAATATATATATATATATATATATATACATATATATATATAACCTATCACCAAAGAGAAACCGGGAACCCGGGAGCCTGGGAACCCAAAACCCACCGAAATCGGCCCAGAACCAATAACGAACCCGGGAACCAATAACTGGGAACCCAGCCTGCTACCAAAATCCGCGGGAAACTTTCACCAAATCTTTCAACTTCCGCTATGACCCCTTCACTGCAAGCACTGATTTGGGTAGTATATATCCAGAGATAGAGGAGAGAGAGAGAGATAATGAAAGAGAGAGAGAAACCGATATACGGGGGCTGGGCGAGTGCTAAGAGAGCATGGATCAATAAAAGGAGAAGGTCAGGGGAAGGGAAGGACTGAGGAGAGAGGTGGGCGGGATGCAGTATGGAAAAGAGCAAGAGGGATGAGGCAGAAAGCAAGGGGGAGGAGGCAAGTACGGAAGGATCGGGGTGTGGAAGGGGGGAAAGGGTGGAAAATTAAGCAATCTATTGACTGAGGTGTGATGAGGGAGGAAGATGATATGAGGAAGGATGGTGGGCAATGAAGTGAGAAGAGGCAGGGGGAGAGGCGAGAGCAGGGAACGAGGAGAGAGGGAGGATGAAACAGACGCAGGGAGGATGGGACCAGGTGGGAGGTGAGAGGAGGCAGGTGTGATGTGAAAGGCGGAGGAGGAGGGGGAGGGGGAGGGGGACAAGCTAGGTGCGCTCGCGTCATATTTGACGTCCTACCCCTCCCTCCCATCCCTTACCATGGCGCTCATTTTCTCTATCCGCGGACGCGTGTCGTAGCGGACCTGTGGCTCCGCGCGCGCGTGCGTAGTGGGTGGTGGTGCGCGTGCGTGCGTGCGTGCGTGTGTGCGTGGTTGTGGTGGTGGTGGTGGTGGTGGTGGTGGTGGTGGTGGTGGTGGTGGTGGTGGTGGTGGTGGTGGTGGTGGTGGTGGTGGTGGTGTGTGTGGTGTGTGTGTGTGTGTGTGTGTGTGTGTGTGTGTGTGTGTGTGTGTGCGTGTGCGCGTGTGTGTGTGTGTGTGTGTGTGTGTGTGTGTGTGTGTGTGTGTGTGTGTGTGTGTGTGTGTGTGTGTGTGTGTGTGTGTGTGTGTGTGTGTGTGTGTGTGTGTGCGTGCGTGCGTGCGTGCGTGCGTGCGTGCGTGCGTGCGTGCGTGCGTGCGTGTGTGTGTCTGTGTGTGCGCGCGTGTGATGTGGTGTGACGCGGTGTAGCGTGGTGGTGGTGGTGGGCTAGTGCGGTGGTGGTGGCGGTGCGCGGTGGTGGTGTGCGTGCGTGCGTGCGTGCGTTGGTGGGTGGAAGTGGCGGTGGGTGTGCGTGCGGCGGGGCGGGGCGTGGTGCGGCGCGGTGGTGGCGGGCGGATGGGCGCGCGAGAAAGAGGCCCGCGCTGGGGCGAGAACGCCATCCTGAACGACGGAGGCAAAACACCGATCCGAAAATGAGGCCCAGGCTGCAGCGGGAGCACGATTCGGAACGATTCGGGAGCAGAAATGAGGCCGGCGCCTCAGCGAGAGCAGCATTTTGAAAAAAAAAACACAAGCGCAAACCCAACTCCTGGGAATCCTGTGTGTAAAAAAACAATACGCGGGGGGGGGTCGAATATTCCCAGGACGCCATCAGGGGAAGAGGGAGAGTAGTATTCATATTGAGTAATTGTTGATGATGATGAGGAGGAGGAGGAGGTGAAGGACGAGGGGGAGGACAAACGCCACTGCTTTCAGCGTAGGTCGATGTAACGTAAGAGAGACAGAGGAGGGGGAGGAGGAGGAGGAGGATGAGGAGGAGACCTAGACCTAGTCTCTAGACCTGCTCATGGAATCCCTGCAATCTCTGTGATGCTACACGCGTTGATGCACAATATAGCTGGGCTCTGCGTGGGAACACCTGCCAATCAAAAGTTGGTTGCGGCTGAACCTCAACGAATCTGTGCAGTGACTGTCGCCCAGTGCGTACGACAGCACTGGCCGATCGGGACCTTTGGAGGCACGTCGCTCAGGTCAGGGCCCGATGCAGAAGCACGAGAGAAGCTCATCCCACCACCTCACGACAGCTCCCCCGACGACCAGACCTCCCGCCCCGTCCGCTTCCTCGGCCTCTGCCGCGGCTACGCTGAAGCTCAAGCACAGTCGCTGTGGGCATCAACGAACTAGCTTGCCATGAAACCTGCTTCTCGCTAGGACTCTCAAGCACGCTTGCTGGAATAACACCGCGAGTAATTCACGCTGCTAATCTCTCGCTCGATTGCAACTGCTGATGCCTCTGCTCACTGCTGGAGCTTCTCAGTCCTGTTCTACGAACCTGTACAAGTCTCGCTGCAGCTGGCCCTTCGGTGCCGCCCCCACGAGTGGAACCCATCCTTCCGAAACGTTGAGCTTCTCGAGCAACGGCCCCAGGGCAGC